TCCGAGGAGCTGGCCCCTCAGCAGAGATCTGACTCCTAAGCATGACCCCTACTCCGTGTTTTTCCCTTTTATTTTTCTTTGGTTCGTCCTCCTTTTCCTGTGGGTGAAGTAGTGATTTCTTGAAGATCTGAAGGCTAGAATTGCCAGATGTGTGGTGGCGCACACCTTTCATCCCAGCACTCAGGAGGCAGGGGCAACCTGGTCTATAGAGCAAGTTCCAAGACAGCCAAAACTACACAAAGAAACCCTGTCTTGAAAGAAAAAAGGACGTTTAGAAATCACTTCACTGCTAAATGTACAAACTTTTCAAATTTGTGATTTGAATATGTTTGTGTACACACATGCGTGCTATGGTATACCTGTGGGAATCCAAGAACAACTTTGGGGAGTTGGTTCTTGCTTTTTTCCCCATGTATTCTGCTGCGTATTGAACTCAGATTGTAAGGTTGGGCAGTAAGTCCCTTCACCAGCTGAGCCAACTTGCCAGCTCAAAGCATACAAACTTTTGTATAATTTCCTCCATTTCATGGGTTCTGGACTTGTTTAACATTTTATCCAGCCACTCTTTGGAGAGTCATTATTTGAGTCTAGGTCACAGAGATAAGACAATCACATGAGAAATGCTGTGGAAAGCTTGGCACATGCTGTCTGTGCATGGATACCCAAAATAAGCCATTCATTGTTTCTAGGCTCAGTGCTCATTCTGAATTCTGGCCTGGGACAACTCTTTGGAAAGAGGTCTCCTTATATTTCTACTTATACTTCCTGGTCCTCGTTTGACGTGGCTTCTGCTTCCTTGGACTTGTGTCTATTTTTCTATGTTCCTCCTCTGCTCCCTGTTCCTGATAGCCAAGGAAGACACTCTGATCAGCTGGTTTCATTGCCTTGGTACCTTTCCTCCGGAACCACAGTTCTGTCACTTTGGTCCTTTACAGTACTGGCTGCTGTGCTGATATCCGTTGGCTCAGAGTAGATGAGCGATGCAGTTCAAATTTGAGGGTCTTCCCTTCTTTGCTTAGATCTGAGAGGAGGATTGCTCACCTGAGAGCCAGGTAGGAATTCAAGCATGGGTTTCCTTTTCTGGTTCTGCTTGTCTCTTCATGCCTCTTTTGGTCCTCTCTAGCTTCCACCTTCCTCACCACTGGAAGTTCCCGCAGAAAAAACCCAGAACAACCCAGAAGAAGAGATCTCAGAAACCCTAGCTGAAAAGTCAGATTCTGTCATTGAAAAGGAACCAGAAGCAGGCCATTCCCAGGACTCAAACTCGGAGATGCAACAGATCCTCGCACGCGTTCGCCAGAACTTCGGCAAAATCAATGTGGGACCTCAGTTTTCTGAGGAGGACCTGGTTCCTGTGGAGCTGTCAGACATGGAAGACGATCTGGAAAGCCTTTCTGCAGAAGAAGAGGAGGAACAGGAGCAGTCAGGAGCAGGATCAGCGGATGCTGTGGAAGAGCCTTCCCAGGACTCTCAGGAAGAACCAGTGGAAAAGGACACCAAAACAGTGATTAGAGCCTTAGATGAAAAGATTGCCAAGTACCAGAGGTTTCTAAATAAAGCCAAAGCTAGAAAGTTCTCAGCCATCAGGTAAAATCTTCTTTCTTCTACTCCTCCTCCTCTTTTCCTCCCTCTCTTCCTCCTCCTCTTCCTCCTCTTCCTCCTCCTATGCTTCCCCTCTTCCTTCTTCCTCCTCTTTCTTCTTCCTCCTCCTTTTTCTCTTTTCTTCCCTCCCTCCCTTCTTCCTTCTTTCTTTTTCTTTGTTCTCTCTTCTTTTTCTTCCTTCTTTCTTCTCTCTTTCTTCCTAATTAGCTTACGTGGTTTTTCCTCACTTGCCATGAACATTGACTTTGATGTTAGAATTTTAAAGGGCGTAGGATGGAAGCCAGGGCCTGTGTCTACCAGGCAAGTGCTCTACCACTTAGCTGCAATCCCAATCTGAGTAGTATTTTACTAGGAGTGATTGCTTTAAACAAAACAAAACAAAACAAAAAACCGGGTTTTGTAACACATACCTTTAATCCCAGCACTCTGGAGGCAGAGGCAGGTGGATCTCTGTGAGTTCAAAGCCAGCCTGGTCTACAGGAACTAGTTTCAGGACAGGCTCCAAAGCTACAGAGAAACTCTGTCTGACATTTCCAGCCACCTGAAGCCAAGGACCTGGTTATCTATATTTAGCTCGAGCAATAAAAGCTGATGGACACTGGCCGTATCACCTGCAGTCACCACAAACATGGAGTTTCCTTTTCACCTCTCCACATCAGCCTGTTGAGGGCAGTTAAAAGGGAGTGCTGGGCAACTTTGTGACCTCACTTTTATTTTTCAGAATATCCAAGGGCTTAAGTGAAAAGGTTTTTGCAAAATATGAAGAAGAAAAGAAAATGTCTTCAAAAGTCAGGGATGCAGGTAAGGTCGATTCTTTGAACCTTTTAGACTTGTATTGTAGCTTTAGGATAATTTCCTCCATTCAGGCAGATGCTAGGCATCTGGTTCCACATCCTACTTCCATGCAAATTGGATTCTCCAATTGGAATTCTGCACATTTGTTAAGATCAAAGTTGATAGCTCGGGAATATTGCTTTTCAGAAGTGCATTTTGCAGGTGGTGGCGGCGCATGGGTTTAATCTCAGCAGGCTAGAGGCGGGTGGATCTCTGTGATTTCGAGGCCAGCCTGGTCTACAGAATGAGTTCCAGGACACCCAGGGCTACACAGAGAAACCCTGTCTCGAAAAACAAAAAGAGAAAGCCTCATTTTTGCCAGACAATGCTGGCACACACATTTAATGCCTTCAGTTGGGAAACAGAGACAAGCGGATCTCTGTGAGTTGAAGGCCAACCTGATCTACAATGTGAGTTCCAGGACAGCCACGGCAACACAGAGAAACCCTTCTCACAAAAACAAAAGTGCATTTTAATAATTCACAGTTGAAGAGAAGGGTCTTTAGCCAAATTGGGGCAAGAGGTCTGTCTTAGCTACTTTTCTATTGCTGTGATAAAGCACATGACCAGAGCAGCTAATAGAAGGAAGGGCTTCATTGGGGCTTACAGTTCCAGAGGGGTAGGAATCCATCATTGGAAGGGAGCGTGCAGCAGGCAGGCAGACATGGCACTTGCCAGGCAATTCATACCCCATTCCACAAACAGGAAGCAGGTCGCACATTGAGGATGGCTGAAGGCTTTTTTAGCCTCGGAGCCCACCTCTGTGACACATGTCACCTTTTCCAAGCTGTTCCACCAGGTAGGGACCAAGTATTCAAACTTTATGAGCCATTGGGACCATTCCCTCCAGACTAGCACAGATGTCATATAAACTTACTGATAATGTCTGAGTGCTGCAGCTCAGATCCCACTGTGGCCCTGGCCTGCTGCTGTAGCCCTGCTTCTCTCTGCCTCCTTACCCAGGGCTTATACCGCTGTAGTCTTCCAAACAGATTTTGAAATACTGTTTCTATTTTTAATCTCCTTCTGTTTTATGTATCATTTATACCCAGCACCCACCAAAAAGGGAAGGAAGCGGAATGCAGAGATGGAAGAAGAACCGTCAAATAAATCTCAGAGGATGCTGACCTGTAAGGAAGTAAGTATTCTGCTTCTTTTAATGAAAGTAGAAATCCAGCTAGGCATGGTGGCGTATCCTCACCATGCTCACCATGCCTTTAGTCCCAGCATTAGGAGGCAGAGGCAAGCAGATCTCTTGAGTTTGAGGTCAATCTGGCTTACATAGTGAGTCCTTACCTTAGACAGCCAGAGCTGCATAGTGAAACCCTGTCAGGGGAAGACAACAACAACAATAACAACAACAAAAACAGTAGAAGTTTATTTTGAGGTTTGTTTTTTACATTTATTATGTGCACAGGCATCTCATGACATGGTACGCTCCTGGAGATCAGAAGACAACTTGTTGGTTCTCTCTATCACATAAGTTTTTGGACCCTTGAGCCATCCCTTCAGCTTTTTGTTTGTTTGTTCGTTCTTTTCTTTGGTATGCAGTCCCCTTATCTTGGTCTCTCAAATGCCCAGTTTACAGGTATAAGCTATCCTACCGAACTAGAAGTCCGGTTCCCAAGACCCATTCTATCAGAAACAAGAATTTAGAGCTGAGAGTTCTAGGAACCCCACTAACCAACACAGAGGCTTAATTTTACTTATAAATGCTTGGCCAATAGCTCAGGCTTGTTGTAATCTAACTCTTACACTTAAATTAGCCCATATTTCTCATCTATGCTTTGCTTTGTGGGACATGGCTTGTTAACCTCATTTTCTATACGTTCTGCTTCCTTGGCAGCTAGCTGATGTCTCTCCTGATTCTGCCCTTCTTCATCCCAGTATCCTCAGTTTGATTGTCCCGCCTAACATTATCCTGCCTTGCTATAGGCCAGTCAGCTTCTTTATTAACCAGTGAGAGTCATACATATTCATAGTGTACAGACATATTATTCCACAACAGACCTGATGTAATTTAATTTCGGTCAAGAAGTGGCCCACTAAATAAAGGTCCTTGAGTCTGAGTCTTAGTTTCAGGAATTCTAGGTTACCATCTTCAAACCTGTGCCCTGTTGACCAAAAGAGTTGGATAGTTTTGTCTGGGTCCAGGGAGGTGACAGTCAAAGAGTACAGCTGGTGAGGCAGGTAGATAACTGACCCCTGGGAACACAGCAGGGAAGCAGACCCCCTGGGGAGAGGATGAGGGCTGGACCAGTGAGAGTCTGCTGGGGGTCATCAGGTCTCAGGTGGACACTCCCCAGCTTTGCTTCCATTGTTGTGGTGGCTGCACAGCCGTGGAGAGGGCTGGGAACCAGGCTTCTCTCCATGACCTTCAGTGTTTAACTGATTTTATTTGTCATTTTTTACAGCGGAGAAGAGCGGCACGTCAGCAACAATCCAAAAAAGTTGGTGTGCGCTACTATGACACACACAATGTGAAAAATAGAAACAGGAACAAAAAGAAGGAGAATGACTCAGAGGGACAGAAACACAAACACAAGAAATTCAGACAGAAGCAATAACATCTAGAAAGTTGTTTATTAAATTATACAAAAATATGCTAGTAGGAATTGTGTTCATTCTTTCATGCCCAGTTGGCATCTATAAGACAACACACTTGGGGAGCTCAGCAGTTGAGGCTGTGCCCCAGTGCTAGGAACAACAGTAAATCCTCAGCCCCAGAGTTTTTCAAACACTTGTCCTGGCCCTTGGTTCCTCCAGAGTGTGACCCTGTGTGTGAGAGAGAGACTGTCTGTTTCTTTACTGAGCAGTGCTGGGGATGGGAGCCTACAAAGGAAGCTGTAGGAGCACGAGGGCCTCGGAGATACTCGTGATGAGACTGGAGGAGCAAGGATGCTCCAGCAACTGCCTTGAGCCTGCTTGGTTAGGGTACAAATGCTTTTCTGTCTGGGCAGCAAAGCCATCACACCACAAGGAATGGGCTCTTCCAGGAAGGTGGCAGACTTAGTTCCTCAGGATCCTGGGGTGACAAAGACGTGACTCTGATATAAGGTCAGAGTGTGTGGGGTATATTCAACTAAGAAGAGCTCTTGGGATCATACTGCAATACGCCTTGACTAGGATGGAGGGCAAAGCTGCTAAGAAGTGAGTCCTTTCTGGCACTCCTTCGGGCATTCCTACCAATGGCAAGGAAATGATAGTGCCACCTGAAGAACAGGACTTCTGACACTTGCCTGAATGATGGGTGTCACCAAACTCACTGTCCTCTCCCACCCTGGGTTTCCCTGAATGGAAATCAGTCTGTAATTTAAGTCTTCTGGAGGCCATAACCTGAGTAGAACTGCAGTGACATGTGGCTACCTGCTTAGCTGTTCACTGATGGCTATTAGGGAGTGTAGAGTCAGGCTTTGATGTCCTTCCTGCAGAAGCTGAGTAGTGGGGAGGGCCTGGCATGGAGGCATCTCTCAAGATACTGGGATTTTGCCTCTCAGCGAGCATGGGTTTGCCTGCTGTTTTTTGCAGAACCAGGCAGACTGAGGATAGGCTGCTGACTTGGGTGGGGATGAGACTAACAGCGAACTCTGAAATAAGTTGCTAAGAGTTACACTAAAGTGAGGAAGTGGAAGGATGGGGCCAGGGAAACCCAAGCTACAAGGTGAACTGTGAACTGAACTTGGTACAAAAGTCATTTATCCAGGGAAACATTTGCTACCTGTTATTGAGATGGCAAATCCCCAGGCCAGTCTATAAACTGTACATGGGCGTGGGGTTACACCACCTTCCACAGCCCAACCAGGAGCCTGGCTGCCAGACCTTAGGTGTTTCACAGCACTGGGCAACAGTTCTAACAATTACATGAGTGGTGATCAGGGGAGGGGATGGCTTGTTCACTCAGGAAACTGGCTTTTTATTACAATGGGCTTATGATGCAGCGTAGTGCCTGCCGAGACTCATGGAAATTATCACTTCTTTGGTGCGATAATGCCTTCCAGTTGGGCCTGAAAAACAAAACAAAAAACTCCATTAATATTTGCACCTTGCACCCTAACAACACATAGCTGAGCCCCGGAGGAATAGCCCAAAGGCTGGCACTCTGAGCAACACCCCCTTCTGACTCAGCTCCATACTTTCTAGATTAGCGGGATTCAAGCTTGGCATGGTTTTGTTACATGAGCAGAAACCAGAGCTGTCCTGGTTTCCATACAATAATTGCTCAGTGTATAATAGAAAGCACAGAGAGGGAAATGGGATGAAAGTTGTTGAAATAGTGGTTTCCCATCACTCCTGCTTTAAGCCTGAGTATGTCCACTAAGCTAAACATTGGGCTCTCTGGCTTAGTACCATGGAGCTCTGGTTGGACCAGAGGTCTGGGAAATGGCCACTGAGACAGCTTGACACTCAATTAGAAGAAATGGCTCCCAGTGGGGAGGGAAAGCTTAAGACACTAGGGGGTTATTTGCTCGGTTCCTCTAGCAGCCAGCAGTGATTTACTGCAGTGATGTGTGAACAGACCTTTAAGAAGGTCTATCCAGGGAACTGAAAACACTGCTTTCTTTTTAGTGCAGCTTTGAGCCAATAAAAAGCTTTCTTGTAAAGAATCCTTCGCCCTGGGGATTTCAAGGCTGCCTTTGGATGTTAGAAGGATGCTAAGGTATTCAGCTTTGGTATTGTTGGAACTAAGGAACCAGCTTTGGAATCTGCTGAGTCAACATTTACATCTGGCTGGGGAAGTCTCCAGCTTTTCTTCTAATAAACTCTGGAGCAACTAGCAAAATCTCTCATCCTCTGCTGAAGGCTCATACAAAGCCTTCCTTATCTCAAGGGCAGACCTTTTGGCTTTAAGTAAGGGAGGTAGGAGAGAGCTGCTTATAGGCACCATATTTAGAAGAGGGATGCTTAAACCTCAGCAAGCCCCGGAGCCTTTCAAGGCCTTTAAGCTGCGCTGTTGGGCACCAGTCCCATAGCTTCTGTTTAGCACATCTGGGGATGACCAATAATTATTTATAAAAGTTGCCCTGTGATAAGGGTAATGCTTGTCTGGGGTTCAGCCTTTGCAGCCTGAGGCCCAGCCTCCTTCCCATTCAGCCCTCTTTCTCAGCACCACAGCTGGGCTGAGGAAAACCACCTCCAGCTGACCTCCTCTGCCATGCACCTAGCGGGGCTTCCCACATGTCTTTATTTCAAGAGCCTTCTCTGCTTTTGTCACGGTGTATGAAGATGCCAGGGTGGCTGGCACTCCTGTTAGAGCCTGCTGAGGAGACCTGGTCCACAGAGGTGGTCTCCAGCGACCAGCTTGAGGGGACAGAAGCTGTTGTCATCCTCTCTGACTATGAGCATGTCTCCCAGGAGGGAAAGAGATCAGCAAGCATGATGCTGTCCACTGGAGGGGCAGGCTGGAGTGTTGACTAGTGACTAGACTTCCTATACAGCCTAAGGGATACAGAACATAGAAAAGGAGCCCCACACCACCCCAGTTAGCTTCCCGTACTCCTTGGCAGTATGAGTGGGCCAGCATTTAAAGGTGATGGGCACAGGCCTGTAATCCCAGCTACTGGAGAGGCAGAGGCAGGAGAATTCCAAGTTCACAGCCTCCCTGGGTTACAGTGAGTTCAAGGCTAGCCTAGGAAATGCAGGTCCTGTTTCCAACTGAAAACTAAAAGGAGAGCAGGAAAATGGACCTGGGTTCGTTTCCCAGCACCCACAAAGTGGCTTACAACTATCCATAACCCCAGTCCTAGGGGAGCCAACAGACACACATGTGATGTACGTATGTGCATGCAGGCAAAACATTCATACACAGAAAGAAAAGTAAAGTTTTTAATAAACTCTTTACAGCCAGGGATGATACACAGAGAAACCCTGTCTTGAAAAACAAAAACCAAAAAAAAAAAAAAAAAAAAAAAACCAACAAACAACTCTTTAAAAGAAAATTAAAAAGAGCTGGTCATGGTGGCACATGCCTGTAATCCCAGCAGTACAGAGACTATGAAGAGTGTGAGTTTGAGGCTAACCTGGGCTACATGAGAGACCCTGTCTCAAAAATCCAAACAAGAAAAAGAAAAGTAGAAAGGAGGGCTGAAGTTAGAATTTCAGGTATAATGACTGCCTAGTGTTCTTCACGACACCGAATCTCCACTACTCCACAAAAAGGAAGCCACAAATGCGCTCTTTTACCTTCAGCTGCTGGTTGGTCCTCTTCAGGAACTGGATCTCCTCATTGTGCTTCTTCTCCTCCACCTGTCGCCTCTCACTCTCCCGCTTCTCGGTGGCCTCGCATTTTGCCTTCTGTTCATTCACTTGCCTCTCCAAATCTCTCTTTTCTGTCTCCAAGTCTGCAATCTGAAGATAGAATGGCCGTCATCCTGGGACATCCCCCACATGGATGAGTGCTGGGAGAGCCTGGCTGGGGAGGCTTAGGACATTATTGTCCAGCCTAAGACAATGCTAGGGTATGTGCTGCCATCCAGTGGGAAGTCCGCGATTGACATGGAGCGTCCTCAGACAACACCACCTCCTCATTGAGGCCTTGCACCCTCAGGACCAGAATCCAGGGCTGCAATGACAACTGCATGTCTGGGAGCCATGAGGGCATAGTGAACCCCACTCACTTTCCTCTCCATGTCTGACTTCCCCTGTTCGGCTTGCAGTGCTTTCCTCATGCCGAACGCCACGCTGCTCTCATACAGAGTCTGGTAGGCGGCGATGGTCATGCGGATCTCATCCCGGACGCGCAGCAGCAGCAGCCCTCTCTCTGCGCAGTTGATGGTGACCTCCCGGATCAGCTCATCTTCCGCGCGCACACAGGGAGAGAAGAGGCAGTGGTGAGGGGGCGTGCCCTTTGCCTATGACAAACCACCCTTCCTCTTCTTGAGAGGCATGGATCTGGGAAAATGACGGCTGGTAAAAGCAAGAGCCCCAGCCCAACAGTGGTGGCGCAATGCCTTTAATCCCAGCACTCAGGAGGCAGAGGCAGGCAGATCTCTGTGAGTTCGAGGTCAGTCTGATCTATGAAGCAAGTTCCAGGACAATCAGAGCTAACACAGAGAAACCCTGTCTTGAAAAACAAAGTAGGATTTCCAACAGTCATATAAGAAGCCAGGCACAGCGGCACCCATGTAATTCTAGCCCTGGACAAGTGGAGACAGGAACCCCCATAGAGCTTGGGGGACAGTTAGTCTTGCTAAATCAAAGAACTCCAGGCTCAGTGAAAAACTATGTTTCAAAAACAAGGTAGAGGGGCTGCAGGGATGAGTCAGCAGTTACAGCAGATCACTGGTTTCTTTTCCAGAAAAATCCATGTTTGGCAACTAACAATTATCTGTAACTCTAGTTCCAAGGGATCCAATACTCTCTTCCGGCCTCCTTGGATGCTACATAGATAGACATACATACAGGTGAAATACCCACATACAAAGTCTTTTGAAAGATTCCCCCCACCCAAAAAAAAATGGAGAATGATAGAAGACATTTGACATCAACTTTTGGACTTCACCTATGTACACACACATTCATATACAACCATACATATGTACACACATATACATGCGTACAGCACACACAAAAACTAAAACTATGGCCTATAAGAAGGCGCTGTGAGAGAGTGTATTCCATGACCCAGCAAACTGGCCATAAAGTCACTCCTCTCAACCCAACACTTGGAAGGAGCATGCGGTCAGGAAGCTTAGCGTGGAGAGAGAGAGAGAGAGAGAGAGAGAGAGAGAGAGAGAGAGAGAGGTTAGAGCCCCAGGTTTTTTGTGGGTGTTGGTTCCCTTGCTTCCATGTTCAGGCACAAAGTGGGTATAAGAAGAACTGCCCTTCCCAAACGGTGCTGTTTAAAAGCACACCTGCTAAACCAGGTAGCAGTGGCACACATCATTAATCCCAGCACTCAGGAGGCAGAGGCCGGTGGATCTCTGAGTTCAAGGCCAGCCTGGTCTACGGACCAGGTATTCCAGGTCCTGGTATTCCAGGACCACAAAGACTACACAAAGAAACCCTGACTCTGTAAACAAAAACCAAAAATCAAAACAAAAATGCACTCCTGTTGGCTAGACTGGTTTGTGATTAAGAACAGCAGGGCTGCTGGACGGCGATGGCACACACCTTTAGTCCCAGCACTTGGGTGGCAGAGGCAGGCAGTGAATTTGAGGCCGGCTTGGTCTACAAACCAAGTTCCAAGTCAGTCAGGACTATTACACAGAGAAACCCTGTCTCAAAAAACCAAAAAACAAAAGAAGAAAACAAAACAAACAAATACACACACACACACACACAAAAAAAACCCAGCAGGATCTAGAACTTTCTTCTCTCCTGTAAGTACCCAAATTGGAGGGCAAACCACACTCATACTAAGCAGGCTAAGGCCCAAGGCCGCTCACTGAATCTGCAGCTCCTGAGAGTGGAGGGAGTTTGCAGTGGAGAGCCCACAGCGCCAGGATGACTGAACAGAGGGCAGAGGTTGACATCAGTACTCAGTGGGCACATCTTAAATCCCTGTGTCATGCTAACAATAAATGACCGAAGTGTCTTTCTGGAATGTGGGCAGAGAGTAGCTGGATAGACATAAAGGAAGATATTAATTTTCTGATTAAAATATTAGTGTATTGAGCTGAGAGCTAGCTCAGTGGTTAAGAGTACTTGCTTTTCCAAAGGACCAGAGTTCAGTTCCTAACTCCCATGTCTGGTGTTCACAACTGCCTATAACTCCAGCTCAGAGCATCCAATGCCCTCTTCTGTCTTTCATGGGCACCTTCACACACATACCACACACACACACACACACCACACACACACACACACACACAAATAAAATAAATGTTGTGTTAAAATTATTATTATAATTAATTCAGTTATTTATTTATTTTGGTTTTTTTTGAGACAGGGTTTCTCTGTATAGTCTGAAGCCTGTCCTGGAACTCACTCTGTAGACCAGGCTGGCCTTGAACTCACAGAGATCCACCTACCTCTACCTCCTGAGTGCTGGAGTTAAAGGCATCACCACCACTGTCCAGCTTAAAAATTATTTTATTTTAAAAATTATCAAGAGATGACTCGATAGTTAAGAGCACTGACTGCTCTTCCAGAGGAGGTGGGCTCAGTTCCCAGTACCCACATGGCAGTTCACACATGTCTGTAATTCCAGTCCCTGAGTGCTGGGATTAAAGGTGTGAGCCACCACTGTTCAGCTGCTATATTCTGAAATATATAAATATAATCTGTCCACTCCATACAATGTAAGTTGTGTGTATATGTTTCCAGGGATGATCATTTGGTATCGAAAAATAAATTTAAAAAAAATTTATAAAGCGAGGAGTAGTGACGTATACCTTTAACTCGAATACTAAGGAGGCAGAGGCAGGCGGACCTGAGTCCAGGCCAAAGGGCTAGATATTGAGACCCTGTCAAAAAAAAAAGTACAGCCTCATTATGGAAATCCTTGGGGGGGAAACATCAACAAAGACTCAAAATAAGAAGTCTTTTTTCTCTTATTTTCTTCTTTTTTAATGGAGCCTTGGCTAGCCTGGAACTCACTATGTAGACCAGGTTGGCCTCAAACCAGAGAACTGCCTGCCTCTGCCTTCCAAGGCCTGTACTAAAGGCATGTGCCCCCACACCTGGCTAAAATAGAAGCTCTTACCTTATTCCAAATACCTAGTAAGGGGGCCAGTGAGATGATTTAGTGGGTAAAAGCACCTGCCACCACGCCTGATGACCTGAGCCAATCACCAGAACCCACACAGTAGAAGGAGAGAGTTATCTTTTGACCTCTATACTCAATGCTTGACACATGTGTGCCCTCATAAAAACATGCATGCATACATGTGTGCACCCACACCCAAAATAAATCTCAATCTACATGAAAATCAAACCAACATCCATGTGGGATACGGCACCCAGGTGCCTAGCTGAGGTGGAGACTGGAGGGGGAAGGGAATGTACCCAGCAGCTGTGGCGAATCAGGAAAAAGAAGAGAGGATCCCTAAATCGGGGGAGGTGTGTAGTTTGGGGGTAACCAGGGCTTGGTTTGGTGCTGGAAGGAGGCAGACGGTGTACAGCGCTCACCCCACCAAGCCTCCTCACCGAAACACTGCGAATAGAGTTCCCTGCGCACGGGGCAGATGCCCGTCTCCCTGGCCTGTCTCTGCTGCAGCTTCAGGTCCAGCTGCTCCTGGAGATGCACCACATCCATTCTGGTGCTGGGTGTGCTGGACACCTGCTGGATCCATAGCTGCGTGTCTTCCACCCACTCCCTATGATACAGATACAAGTCACCCGATGTGAGCAAAGGGCCTGAGCAGGAGTGACAGGCAGCATAGTCATCAAGCCACCAGAATCCACTTCCCTCTCCTTCCCAAGCCATACCCACTATGCAGCCTCCACAGGACACCTCCCTCAGGGTTGGGTAGATGATGGGTAATCTCTGTAGTCCATGAGACCACGACTCTGTTCCAGGTCATACCTGCCTAGCATGTTGAGGACAGGTGTATGGTCCTGCTGCTTGATTTGAATAGAAGATGCAGTGAGAAATCCCCACACTAGCTTGCGGTGGAGACACGGAATACCATTAAACTCATGCAAGCCCATAAGAAGTATTTATGTACGGTGGGAGCATGTGTGTTCTTGAAGGGCTGTGTTTGCAATGGCTGCCCATAATGAATTCTGTGCTGGAGGCACAGCCAATTCCTGCAGTGACAAAGGCAGAATGGCAAGGGAGGGAGGACGTCTATGTGGGTGGGAGAAAATCCGCTGTTAAATGACACCTGTCTCCTGATCTCCATCTCTGGAGAAGATCACAGGTTCTGTGTGGTTCCTTTATTCTCTGAGAAAGAGCTTTCTTGCCTTGGGCATAAAAATGTCCATTAGGTTGAGGCTTTTGAGAATTCTAGCTAGGCTATGTAGCCCAGGTTGACCTCAAATTCTTATCCTCCTGCCTCTGCCTCCTGTATTCTGGGATTAAAGGCGAGATTTAGCTGGCATTGCCTTATTGGACATTTGTGAGGTTTTTGTTTTTTTGTTTTTTTTTTTTGAGACACAACCTTGCTATGCAGCACTAGCTGGCCTGGCACTCCTTTTGCAGTTCAGGCTGGCCTTGCCTTTGAGGCAATTCTCCTGTCTAGCAGAGTACCACCACACCAGACTCTCTATGGGGATTTATCCCCCCCCCCCCAGAGAAAGGGTTTCTCTGTGTAATATTCCTAACTTTCCTGTAACTCGCTCTGTAGACCAGGCTGGCCTTGAAATCACGGAGATCCACCTGCCTCTGTCTCCCAAGTGCTGGGATTAAAGGTGTGCGCCACCACCTCCCAGCTTCTACAGGAAATCTTGATGGCACTACCAAGAGAGCAGAATATTGGGAATGGGGTTTAGGAGGCACAGGGCTGGACTGGAGACCTATATGTGAAAGCTGATTGAGGAGCTGGCATATAAGGTCATGAGACTGCTCAGAACATGGGTGGTATGAGGATGGATTTAGAGATTTCCTGCTTGGCTGTGAGCTCCAGTCGTAGTCAGACTCCATGAAATCCAGAAAGCGGAGAGAAAACCCAAGGCAGAGCACAGGTGAACTTCCTGGCCTGACACACCTAAGTTCTGGGGCCAAGAGTTTGGACCTTAGTCCAGCCACTGCATCCCCCACCCCTTTTATTTATTTATTTATTTATTTATTTATTTATTTATTTATTTATTTTTTACCTTGGTGGCAAGATGGCATTCAAGATTTCTTCTGCCTGTTTCGCAGGATCTGGGACACAGGAAGTTGAGGGTAGTTTGCCCTTGGGTGGCTGTGGGACTGGACCTGAGGGCCCAGGCTGCTGGGGGCTGACTTTCAGTGACCGAGCCTAAGAGACAGGTGAGACAGGACATCCAGTTTGCTCCAGATTTCTTGCACAGGTTTCCCAATTTCCAGACGACTTCCCTCATCTATGGTCTCAACAGAAGTATGAGCTGAAGAGACCAAGAGGGCTATCTGGCTCTGGCCCTGTGTTTGAACTGGTGTCTCTAGAGATGGAGAAGTCACTACCTGGCCCATATTTGGACCTGCCTACCACAAACCCCATCCATTTCCCGGAGACTTCTTTCTCATCGTAAATCTGCCCTTTGGGGTCACAGTTAGGCTTGTCTTACTCCTTTCCCAACCTCCGTCGTCCCTGTCCCAATTCCCTTGGCTGTCAGTCCCAGCAACCCCTGTCTCCTGAAATTCCAGAGATCCTCAAAGCTGGGATGTCTTCCTCCACGGGAATCTGTAGGATCTCGCACCCCGTGAGACCTGTTCATACCTTGGGGCTCCGTTTTTCTGTGTTCCGGCTCACCAACACCGGGGTGTCATATTTGAGCAGAGAGTCTGCGGGGGGTATCATAGTGGCAGCTGGGCTGGTAACTCTGTAGTGGTCCCTCCAGAAGGGGCCTTGTTTGCGGTCACCATGGAAACTCCTCCTCGCCTGGCCTCAAGGATGGGGCGGGGCTTCGTAGGGAGGCGGAGCTGGCCGCGTGCAAATTTTATTCTACTGAGCTAGCTCCGCAAGCCCCTGGCTACTTGGTGAGCAAGACTGGATGGAGCCCTAGCGCTAGGTCCGATAAGGGATGTGATGAAATGGGCAGACCACCTTTGCTGAGCCTGAAAACGGAAGTCATCTCCTGACTTCTTAAATCGTTTGGCGACGAGTGGCATTTGTAAGGCAGAGGCTGGTGTATCTCTGTGAGTTACAGGACAGCCAAGGCTATATAGAGACACTGTCTCAAGAAACAAACAAACAAACAAAAATAATTTCCTAATGTTGAGTACTTGTCTATGTTTTGTAACTATCAACAATCCTCCACGAACAGCGTTGGATTAGCTTTCCCACATAAGATTTTCCTTGTTTAAAAAGCAGGGCAGTAGTGGTGCATGCATTTAATCCCAGCGTTTGAGTGGCAAAGTCAGGCAGATCTCCGGGTTCGAGGTCAGCCTGTATACAGAGTAAATTATAGGACAGCCAGGGATACATATAGAAACCCTGTCTGGAAAAACAAAACAAAAAGGATTTTTAAAAAAATTAGTTTGATCATTTTTGAGATTCTGGGGGTTGCCCCCAGGGCTTGGCACACTCGAGGCAAACGCTCACTGTACAGCTAAGCCACATCCCCAGGCTTTCCGCCCCTTTTAACTTCAATCATTTCTATTAGGCGGCGCTGCGGGCGGAATCCAGGGCTTTGGGTTCGGCTACGCAATCGCTCTACCTGAGAGACAACTTTTTCAAATTTTAAGATAGAGTTGTCACTGAATTGCCCAGGCTGGCCTCGAATTTACAGCGATCCTCCTGTTTCAGTCTTCCGAGGTCTGGCCCTGACTTTCCAGCCCTCCAGTCCCACTTGCTAGCAGCCCAGATCCCTCTGCCACCAGTCGGGGTATACCCCGCGTGCGAACCCTATCACCTGCGGCCCCGCCCACTGGGGGGGGGAAATGCCTCGCCGTGAGGGCTTCTGGGATAGCTCGCTGCCCGGAAGCGGAAGTGCAAAGGTCGGCCCGTCACTTCCTTTGGCTCGAGTGGCTCAACGGACCGTGCAAGTGGCTCTCGGCCGGGCCGCAGGATGAAGGAGGGGAAGAGCGAACGGGAGCGAAGCGGCCGACGGCGACACCGGACGGACGACGCGCTGGCGACCGTAGTGGTGAAACAGGAGCGTCTGAGCCCCGAACCTGTCGCGCACCGCCGACCCGACGCCCCAGCCGCTAACCCGTCCCCGCCCGCCGCTGAGCCAGGCCGCGGCGGCCACCGCGGGAGTCGATGCCGGGGAGCGAGCCGGTCCCCAGCCAAAAAGAAAAACAAGTCCTCA